TGAGCCAGGCCTAGGAGGAGTTGTGCTAACCAGCACAGATCAGTGGCCTCCATTACCTCTTTGCTTCTCTGCCCAGGCACATGATGAAGACATTTGAAGCCTCTACAAGCTTCTGAGAAGCATCTTTGCTGAGTCACTTGTGATCCAACACACTGCAGTAGTACCGCCGTGCAGCAGGCTACTCACTAAATCCCTACTGCATGGATATACTTGGCCTCAGACACAGAAAAATAAAACCAAAAAAACAACCAGGCATCCTTAATTCTGCTAGATTCTAACGTAAGTGCCTGACATGAAGTCATAGTCTTTTAATACTGGGGAAGCAGATGGAGAAAGGTGCAGCTCATTTAGTTTTAGGTACTACAGATAGGAATTTTTCTGCATGGTAGTGTACTGACACCTGCATGGGTTATGACTAATAGATTCGCAACACCAGAACTAAGGCTGTAATCATAGAATATCATATTCCTCTATAAGGTACAAACTAGCTAAGCTGGAAGAGGGGCAAAGTAGCCAGAGGTTTCACAGATCATTCCAAACAGCAAAGAAACAGTGAGATGCTGGCTGTTAATAAAGAATTATCTATTATGGAAAGTCTCCCCAGCCTTGTTTTCAATGATGAACCCGTTCTGCCCTTGCCTTTCCAGTTGGTCCTTATTCCAGGACTGTTTCTGACACACAGTCAAGAGGGATTCTTCAGGGAATTAAGATGCAAGGAGCATATGCCAATGGCAGTTGTTGGTTCATAACTTGGCCAGGTTTGGACAGATTTTTTTCAAAGGAATGGCAGGAGGCAGATGCCTTTCCCTAAGGGCATGCCCTCACGAACTGTCACGTCTGTGCTTCAAAGTACAGAATCATGAGAGATTTAGTAAAAAGTTGGTTACCAGTGAATTTCAACAGGGATAAAGGTAAAGCCATTTTCCCAGCCTAATTCTCAGAAACAGCTGAATCATCCTGGCTGAAATTCAGCTGCCCAAAAAGCAATTAATTTATTTCAAGTCATGCAGAAGCACGGACACTGGTAGGGCACATTTTAGCAGAAATAGTTACAGTTTGGCAAAACTATACACAGCTGAAACAGAATATTACAGAATATTGCAAATGGGCTGTGCAACCTCATCCACAGGGAGTGATGTTTGCCTCCACTTATAAAGTTGCAGTTCTTGTGAAGTTAAAGGCCTTGGGAGAAAGGCCGAAAGGAACAGATCCTTTCCTACAACTTGAGATGACAAATCCTTGGCACAGAGCCAGGGCCAGAGCAATGAAGACCTGATTCTGCAGGGACATCACGCAGTTTATTTCTTTGCTGTGTCCCAAGACAGCCCAGAGCTCCAGACATGTACATCCACTCACACTTGGACGCCCCAGGTGCAGTAGTCATTGGATAACATGCATGATGGCCTCATTCCTAAACACTAATGAAGAGGGGAACAACAAGAGGATGGAGGGACAGCAAGGCATTTCAACAAAACTCCCCTTCCAAGCAAGCATCTCACCCTGTTCAGCATTCCAGCTTTCAAGCTCCCCACCCCATTCCCTCTTCATTCATTTCATCCTCACCCATTCCCCCCAACCCATATCCACACCCCACACACACATTTCCCCACAAAGCACTTGCTCTCAGGTCCACATGCAGGTCGGATGTTTCTGATGACACCAGCACACCAACATGATGCAACAAACCCAGTGACGTTCTCTGCTGGCAGCTCGCAACCAGGGGCACACGAGCCAAGGGGAAAAAGGAAGAGAAAGGACTAAAGAACATGTATGCCAAACCCCTGCAGCTCTTCAGTTTGACTGGATATGCCTACAGTGTCCTTCCTCAGAGGTTCCCAGAAATCACTTCAATGCAGTGGGTTGTGTGAAGGATTCTACAACATTGCCAAGGTTGTGCTACAGATTAGAAGAAATAGTGGTTGGAGGGTGAAGGTAAGGAAGTCCTGCTCTAAATGGGAGTCACCAGGGAACAGCAGGCTCCACACAACTCATTCACAGCATGGAAACCCAGAAATTATTTCAGGAGAAGCATGCCTTGCTACCATTCCCATGGTAACACTGTTATGGCATCACCTGAGGCTGACATGATGACCTTGTTGAGCCCAGCCTCACTGAAGATCCAGGTCTGAACCTCAGTACACCATCTCTGGGATCTCAGAGTGGGTCCTACAACACCATCACCTAATCCCTATGAGGGCTGCTGTAGAAGGATGAGAATGGTAGAGACAGATCATCCAGGACTCCCTATGATTGAAAAATGATTGGTGCAGGAAGGTGTCTCAGGAAAGGGGGGAGTGCACGTACAAGGACTCAAATGTAGGGGGGAAATCAAGGCTTTAAACCAGGGAAAACTCAGGGAGATATGAGGCAAGGTTTTCCTCAATCTAAGTATTTGGCTTGCAAACACATGAAAAAAATGTCCCCTGGTGCTAGAGTCGGGGGTGGTGGGGAATACCTGTTAACTTCCCTAGAGTTGAAAGCACTTTGGGGAAGAGGAGGGACATGGTGACCTACAGCTAGGCTGCCAGGACCCCTCAAATGCCCAGACTACACTGGGAGTATTGGGAGTACTGGCTATCAACTGGCCTATCAACACAAGGGTAGACTTCTTCTAGGGACCTGAAGAGGCCGTTTCTCCTAGTAAGAATGGAGTCCAGGCTTATTTTCTAAAGGCTACGAAACAGCTTTTTAGAGCCTTATTTCTGGTGCCTGGCAGTGACTTAATTTGGAGATACAGTGGTAAAAGGCTCTCCTATGAGAGGCAGCTCAGTTTTCTCCCCTCATCCTACAAGGGCTGAGAGGGCCCCACACTAAAGCCCTCATTAAGTCACTGTTATTTACAGCTTGTTTGATGTTTTGGCTGATCCCCCTAGGAAAATGCCAGTGCTAATTTTGGCTGAGCCTTTTCCAGCCCCCCGAGCGGCACCTTCATTCCTGCACTTGCTGCTTTGCACTCATTTAGCCAGTGCGACCAGCATCAAGCAAGCCTGTCACCAGGGTCCTCTGGCTTTCATGGGTCCCTGGGGAGCACACAGTGCCCACAGAGAACAAAGTCCTGTCTCCAAACTGACTGCTTGCTCCAGAAAACATAAGAAAAAGCAAGAGTGTGGGGACTGTCCCCACTGACTAAACGCGAGTACCACAGTAAAAGCAAGTCAAAACAACACGGTTATTGCTCCCTGTATTTTTCTTCCCATGAGCCATTGGGAAGCAATGCCAAATCCAAGAATATCAGTCAGGGAAGGGAAGGGGGTGTCACCTTTCTTCTGCAAATGGAGCGCTGGGAACAAGGTCTAATCCAGTTACTGCAGCTGAAGGAAAAGCCAAAATCCCCCAGTTTCTTTTAGTACTGCTGAGCTCCCTGACCCCTTATGGGGCTGCCTCATCTGTTCTGGAAGAGCAGAGTAACATCTGCAGATGGGGTCCCCGTGTGCTTGTAACAATCCTGCGTTAGATGACGAAACCCATTTTCCAATATGGTAAAAACAGATCAGCCACCTCCTGCCAAGTTCTCAAATTAAAAAGAAAAAAAGGTTGGCATCTCAGCTAAGGCTCAAACAGCACCTCTAAGCCAAAAGTAATTTATTTTTTAGCACCAAAAGCAGGCTGAGTACTGGAGAATTATTAAAAAGAGTGGGACAGGAGAAAGGGGGGAAAAAGCACCTACATATACAGACGTACATTCTTGCTGCAGATCAAAGAGCGATCAAGTCCCACACGCTCTTTCACTGCACCAGGGGTTGCACATTTCTCTGTGACCCCAGCAGCTGCTCTGACAGCAGAAACCCACAGCACAGCCCAGGCCAGGTACCTTAACTGCTGGGCCAGCAGGACTTTATCAGGGCAGAGCAGAGGACGCTGTGCCTACAGCTCATCCAGATGAGATTTACTAGCTCTGCTTCTGCTGTATCATCCATCCAGTCTGTCCTCAATGACTGGAAATTTGACACCTCCTGTCTGGTGCAGGTACAACACTGGTTCAATCAAGGACCAGAGTCAAACATCTAGAGAAGTATTCCTGTGAATCCTCCTTTTTCTACAGTAGAAAACCTCAGAATGGTAACAACACATGACATTCCTTCACTACTTTGCATTTGAGGATATAAAAACAAAGATTTGCCCACCAGCTTCCCTATGAAATTACCATTCTTCACTCTCCAACCTCCCACTTTACAAAGGATGCACAGCAGAGACAAAAGAAAAGGGTTGTGTGACTTGCCCTAGTCAGTGGGAAGCCAGGATCAGAAAAGCGAAGATCCCAATACATGAGCACGTGCTTTTGTTGCTGGCAGGACATCATCTTGAGAATTAGAATTTTTTTTTTTCTTCCTATAAGGACCCCATGGAGGGACTACCAACACAAAGACTAAGAAAAACAAAAGTTAGGGGAAGTTTCCATGCCATTATGCAGCAATTCTCACTTTGCTCCAGAGCATGATCTTGTCAGAGTCCTTGACCTTGGCATGGTAATTCTAGGCATTGTAGCAATCCAGTTATTCGATGCCACTACTGTCTTAAAAGGCAAGCTGCTGACATTAGTCTTTCTACAAGACAACAGCCTTCCCTTCCCTTCAGCCCTGCACAGAATTTTAAATGGATGAAGCAAGCCAGTGAGGAGTAAGGAAGAAGAAAAGCTGAAAGTGTCCTTCTCCCACCTCATCATCAGGTAGATAGGACAGGACTTCTGAGTGCAAAAGACCTGCCTCATGGTCCTCCCTGACCAGGCAGGGAATGAACATGTAGTATTTCAGAGATGTTCAAAAGGGCAAGTCCTACTAGGTAAAACTAGAACTTGTTAATCACCAAAATTGTTCATATTTCCCATGGAAAAGCCAGCACCGCACTTTTAGTCACACAAAAATAACTGAACAGACAATGCCTGAGCTTTCAACACTGCCATCTTAGATAGGAAAAGAAGCAAGGATACAAACCAGGCACACAAGCAGTTAATGGTATTATCCAGACACAGAGAGATCTCAGCAGGACCCAGCAGGCCATGAACACATCATATCATGCAAAAGACCCCTCTCCCATCACAGGGTTAACACGTGCCAGGCTGTTAGAGTCCAGCAACAGCCTCTCCAGGTTTAGGAACTAAATCAAACATGTATCGAAATGCTGCTCTCCGTACCGGTACCTGCTCATCTTTTTCCTCAGCCTGGCGAACAGTTTATTTTTCTTTCTGTTGAGGATGGCACGCAAATCATTTCCGTTACAGGATGGCACAGTCAAACCAGGGAAGAAAAGTTAAGCTTCCGAGTACCCATTCACTTGGTGCCACAAAACTCACTGTAATCAAGACGACAAGCTCTCCTCTCTCACACACACATACAAAAACACATACACACTTCCCTCGATGCCTAGAAAGCTATGGCCTGGTTTGGAGAGGGTGAGAGAGGGGTTTCTGTGCCTCTCAGATTTGCATATATGTGAGGAAACTAGTGTTTTCCCTGCTCTTTGGAATATGGGGCCAGGGTGTACATGGATAAGAAAAAGGAAACTGTAGACCAGCAGAGAACTGTAAATGTCCTTTTTCCAAAGGTAATCACTGTGAGCTGTAAGGAGCTGTTCCTTACTCATCCCTGTAAATATTGGTACAGAGGAAACAAGCTCCCTGTTCTCCTTCACTTATGCGATCTGTGTGCAGTCTTATATGTGGAATCTAATCAGCAGCTTTCCTACTATGTCTTGTTCCAGTTTGTCCGTTCATACTAGGATAATGCTACAAATCTCCTAGGTCTTCTAGGCATCTGAGCCTTGAACGTTCAAACTCTTTCAGAAACAAATCCCAAACATATGTCTGAGGTTCCCAGAAACAGATCAGCTGCTCTGTGCTACTGTGCTACATAGATTTGTCAGCCACAGTGGTATTTCTGTAGGGCCTCGCATGAATGCCATAATGACATACACAGATAACTGCCTCTTCTTACACCTCCTCCTTCATTTTCTGCCATTGTATCCATCTCCAATCCCCTTTCCAGTAGAGAAGATTTAGGGAAGCATCTGCTCTTACTGCAGACCACAATGGGCAATCACATTGGTGAGGGCTATTTCCCCCTGCACACTCTCACTCCAGCCCTGTGCCACAATGGCAGGCCAGATGTGGAGGACAGGCAGAAGCACCTCTCAGCATTTCCTGGCCACTGCAAAACATTTATTATCCTGGCAAACCTTTGCCACATCCTCCCACAATACCCTGCTCCACTGAGCTCAGGGGGAAGAGAGTTGCTCTGGGGCAACTCTGGCATCTCAGCAGAGATGTAGGGAGCAAGTGATGAAGCAGCAGCACTCAGATTGCTACCCGCACAGGGACCTCTGCATGTGCACTCGCTTTCAGTCTTTAGTGCCATGTGGTCTCCAGGCAGCCAAAGAGCACAGAACTGCAGCTGAGACACCCACTACAGCCCCAGATGAAGCTAGCACTTTGTGTGGGTGGGAATCATGAGGACAGGTAGTTTATTCATTGGAGGCTCTTTCAGGCCAAAAACTTCATGACACAACAACAAACATGTCTGGGCCAGGCTGTCACTACATCCTTGCAATCGATTCCTTGAGTAAGTAAGGAAGAGAAGAAGGAGGAACTGGACAAAGTAAGGGCTACAGCTTTCCTCTGTCCTGTTACTTCATCCTCTTCCAAGGGCCCCATCTGCTGCTACCAGAGGCAATACAGCACATGGCAGCAAGAGAATGGGCATCATGGCCTTCTCACAAGGCTTCAGTCGTGTTGTGATGATCAACAGACAACACATGCTAACTTGGGAAGACGATATTCTTTTCACAAAAAGCATTTCTTCTAGCATCTTGGAAATTTGGAAATCCAAAATACAGGGGCCAAATTTTACTCAAGTGTCTTCTTTCTTTAAAGCTGGCAAACACTACACACATTGCTGGAACAAGACACACAAGTCATCTGTGCACAACTGCAACAGCAGGTTAAACTGGGAGGAGAGGCAAGGGAGCACAAAGGTCTCAACAGCTGATCTAGCCCTTCCAAATCAATGCACTCAGACCACAGCTTGCCCTTACTTCATGCTGACTTCACCTCCTCCCTCCACCAATAAACCAGTTGAGGACATGGGCTGTGCTCCTGCTTACCAGCACGTGGGATTAGTGTCAGCTGGAAGCCGGAGCCTGATACTATTTCATCACTCACACATTTGGACAGGAGCCAGACACAGCCTCATCCAGAGCTTAACCTCTCCCTCCCCTCCCAGTGCTAGAGAATGTGCAGACTTGCACTTAACCAAACAGGAGTGGACCCAGTTGAGGAAAGAAAACTAAAGGCCTGGAGGAGGCTCACTCCTTGCATACGTGCAGATTGGAAGCGCTCTGAGATCAGGCGGCCTCGTATTAGTGAGGCTGCAACTACTTCCACAGCACACACGGAGGAAATGCATCCCAGCTGGTACATAGGAGGGGCATAAGGCTTTGGCAAACAGGAGGTTACAAGTTTGGAGAGCCAAGGAGGATGCTGGGGAAACAAATGAGCTCTTGGTGCTCAAACTCACAAGCTGCAGGTACATGGGGGAAGCTTTTGAGGGGAAGAACAGGACGGGTGCTGGGCAACTGAACCCAGAAGGAAGGGCAGCTCAGTATTATGTCAGTGCACAGAATTCAACTTAAAAAAAACGCAGAGCTGAAAGTTGCCTAAATATCCACATGTAATGGAAGTTTAGGCCTCCAGACGCTATTCCAGAAAGGTAAGAGGTATTGCATCTCCCAGCCCCAAGTGCAATCTCTGACATGTTCTAAGGAGTTCCAGGAGGGCACTGGCTGGCTATATGCAGGCAGTCAAATCAGTCCCCAGCTGACAACATGGAGGTTTCAATACGACTAGCAGAGACATCCCTATCCCTCCTCCCCTGCTGAGGGAAAAACACTGCTCCCGCAGTTACTGACCTGGGCTGTGCTTTAACAGGGAAGGCGTTGCCTGAGTACTGCTTGTCTAGACCCAGCAGGACATCGTGGAGGTTTTGGTTCAACTGCGAAATAGAAAAACAAAAGAGAGAAAAAGAATGAGAGAAGAGCCCCATGTGCCAGAATAGAGTCTGAGCTGGCCTGCACAGGCTGACCAAACACAGACTTGTGCCCAGACATGTGCACGTATTCAGTTATCCCAAGAGAGGACAGCCCTACATCTGTTTCCACTCCTTCATAGAATATGAAATGCTAGAGCACTTAAACTGTTGAAGAGCTGCTGGTGCCTCACAGGAATGCTCCGTCTCCCTTGCATACCATCCTCTTTGTTTCTCTATCACCTGCCCCCACCGGTGTGTTGCCAGGTACCATTGCAGAAGCAGGCGAAGTGTCTACCTGAGGATCTACACGCTGGAGCTGAAGCTTCTCTCTAGATTTGTAGCGAAAGCTGCTCCTCAGATCTGCTTATAAAGCTTGGAATATGGCCATGTGAACTGTGGAGCTAAAGGCAGCTGGACTTCCAGTCAGCAGCAAGCCTTGACTTCATAGGCTGCCTGGGACATCTAGGTTTGGGCAGGACCTGAACATCTTTGCAGAAATGCAATATTAGGAGTTAAACTCTCCCTGGCACTGAAGGCTGCAATATTCTCTCCAAACACTCCTATTCTGAAACAGCCAATTCACAAACAAGATGAGATGCCAGATTTATCATTAGGAGGATGAGGGATCCAACACCATCGATGTTGGAGGCATGGTGCCAGCAACACCAGCAGTTAATTGGATACTATAGCAGTAATAAGAAACAGATGGTTCTTATGGAACAAAGCAAAAACCCTTCTCATACAAAACTCCTCAGGAAAGAAAAATCCAAGATATGATACAAGAGGAGAAGTCCTGTCTAACAAGCATCTTTCCCATGTTTTGTTGAATATAAGTTAACAGTAACAAACTGATAATTATAACAATCCTTCCTATTCTTAACAATCAGTTCACCCTTCAGTGGAGCAGAGCAGGCTATTAATTGGAAAGGTCCCCATGAAATGTCAGCAGGGATCAAAATTGATGCATTACACCCAGGCAGAGGGCCCCTAACTGCTGGGAATTGAAGGACTATATTGTTGCTTGTTGCTTAGCGGCTGCCTTGTTGTCAGGATGACATGGGGGAGGGAATACAAGAGTTTTCCAGCTGGGCTTTCAGTCACTCATCAAGATTAACACAACATTTACAGAGAATGTGCAACTCTTAGGAGCAGCGCACAGACCTAATGAGTTCAAGACTTCTCTAGCTTTTAAGTGAACGAAAACCAAGAACATTCTCATAAATGAAAGTGGCAATGGGGGGCATTCCCACAGACTGTTCCTGAAGTCCCTGCTGGGTGCTGGCACACAGCACCAGGATCCAGCCTGCCACTACCAGGTTACAGCACTGCTCACTGCTGTGATACCCAACTCATGGCCAACTGGTAGCCCATGCAAGTACCATGCTATAAACACTCAAATGCCTTCTTTTGAGTCACAGGGCAGGAAAGAATACAAAGCAGAGAGGTACTGCTGGGAAGTGCCTTCTTGAGGGATCAGAGTGAGGCCAATTTGCAGATTGGCAGATGCACTGCTGTTTTCACCCCCACAGCTAAATCGATGAGGTTCACAGCAACTTGCTGCCAGGTAGCAGAGAAGGGGACAAATAGACACCAGGCTGAGAGTGTCCAGGTTACAGGTTACAGATCCATAACGTAGAAGAACTAAAAAAAAGCAGCAAGAGATATGCCTGAATGTGGCTTCCGTTCTGTCTAGGGATCTGCAAACGAGCCCTGCCAAGTGACACAAACTCCCCACTACTGCACAACCCCGTGGTCTCTTCCCTGTGCTCCATCCCTTTGCATTACTATCTCAGACAGCCTTTCTCTCGAGTGGCTCAGAAAAACCTAAGGGTTAACATTTTCCTCTGATGTGGGGAAAACGTTCTGTTTTGTCCAGCTGTTTTTCTTCCAGGTTTTTTTTTTTTTTTTAATTTTAATAACAGTGAAGAAAGGATGTATTAGTAGGATAAGCTGTTAGTTGCCTTACCTTGCTCATTTCTTTATGGAAGTTCTCTTCTAGGCCTGCTATACTCTGGAATGTGTTGACGTAGAAACCAACACGACTGCCAAATGAAAAATGAGACAGAAGAACTCAATAGACACAATGCGCTCACAAAAACTTTACATTCTGCCTCTTCTGCTACCTCCCACCCACCATTCCCATTCTAACTCAACTCTGTCAGGTCTGGTACGTACTGGAAGAGAAGGAAGACTGAGAAGTGTGAAGGGGTGATGGAACAAAGGCCAGGTATGGGGCAAACATGTCCAAGGTGAGGAGGCAGCCAGGTGGGATAGGATCTGAATTTGTGCTGGCAAAAGGCGGGGGGAAGAGAAGGGATAAAAAAAGAAAGAAAAAAGAGAGCCAGTGCTAAGGTGACGGAAAGGAAAAGGACAGAGGCTGTGATGCAGACGGGAGTGTGGGGAGAGCTGGGGAAATTGGCAGGAGGACAGATATTAATTCACTCTGAAGTCCCTCAGCACCAGGGGAAGCAAAACAAAAGCATGAACCGTTTGCTTCAGGGGCAGAAGAGTAAGAAAGCACAGGATAGGCACAGCGAGCAAAAGGAAAGCAGAAGGATCAGCTGGATAGCAGGAGCCTGTGAACAACCTGTGGCACCTTAAAATCCCAGCAGCTGTCTACCACTGTCCTTCTAGCTAGGCTGCCAGAGAGTGCTGCACCAGCACCCAGCTGGAGAAGCAATAGCAGGAGGGAGATGTTAAGGCCAGCAGCACCACCGTTCTGCACACAGAATCACGCAGATGCCTGCGTCCCTCTCATGCCTTCCTCAGCCAGGCCTGCACGCTGCTTTGAGCGAAGAGCCCTGACCCAGGCTGTGAGCAAAGGGGAGTAAAGGCAGACATCAGCTCTTTGCTTTCCTGCCCTGCTGCCACCCAACCACAGACCAGCATTGCCAAGCCAGATGTGATCACTGCATTTAAAAATAAGAAATTGGGACAATCCTAGGAGATTTTGCTTGCTTTCCACTATGTCCTCCCCATACATCAGCTTCTGCTGCCCTCCAGTTCATCCTCCAAGCTTACTGTTTAAAAAAACCTGTCTCTTTTTTTTTCTCCTCCCTTTTCATCACCATAATCACTGGGATACCAAGTCCATGGTCTCTCAAGTCTTCCTATTCTCTCAGCCCGTTCTCCTCTGCCCAGGCTATATTTTGTTAAATAGAGTACAACAGGATAGTTATAACCACTTGTTCCTCACTGGGTCCTGTGGCAGATAGCCAGGAGCACATTTCGGGGCAAGAGAAGGTAGCCACACCAGGATCCTTCCCTCGTCTTTGTTCACCCAACTGCCCAAACCTGAAAGTGGCATCCAAGACAGAGCAACCTGGCCTCTCATCCTGCCTCTTGTGTTAAACCTGCTTCACCAGGTGTTCATAAGCTTCCACAGTAAGACACAGTGATCAAGGCTTTTGGCTCTCTCCAACCCCAGTGACTGTATCAACCCCTCTGACATCTCATCCTCCCTTAATCAGTCAGCTGACATACCTACACAGCTGCAGATGTTCCTTCCAGACTGCCAGCTCCACACCCAAAATCTCAGTGACCCAGCCTGCTCTGTCTGCTGTCCACAGCAGAAGCTGGACCATTGCACAGGAAAGTTGGCAGAGTTGGTGGGGCAAAAGGATTAACCAGACAAAGCACAGAAACACAGTTTCTCTTTGTGGTAAAACTGAGTTTTCCATGAGGATCATGAAGCAAAGCACAGAGAGCCCAGGGTGAACCTGGCTGGGGAGAGTCCTAGGACTGACTCTCTCAGATGATCCAGAAAACAAGAGCAGACCAAGCTAAGGAGAACAGCAATACAAGAGCTTGGATCTTCACTTCCCTCCAACCAGCCCTTGGGAAAACTTCCACTCACCTATTCCATAGTGAGGGCAGCTCCTCCTGCAGATCAACGTTCATCTCTTCAAACACTTTCTGAGCCTTTACTAACTCTTCTTCAGCCTTAATAACAAAGAAGGAGGATTGTCAGCTCCAGCGCAGACATGTACCCTTGCAGGGCTGGCACAACCGCGACACTTGACTTCTTTGTGAGTCAATTGGCAAAATTCTGGCATGGGGTAATCCCCATCCCAAATGAGTCTCCCAGGAATCAGGGTTGCATCACAGGTGACCTGTTGCCCCTTCATCTTGCTTATGTTACTCTCAGGCTTTTTTTTAATGATTTCCCCATTTGGATACTCAGAAAGTAATTCAAGCATCCACTAACATGTTTTAAGTTCTATAAATTTCCCTGGCTTCAAAAACTGAATGGAGCTGGTCAGGCAGTTCAGCCTCCAGCTTGGATACAGATGAAGTATGCCCCTTGCGAGTTGAAATCCATCCCAAATAGCATTGAAGAAGAATCCTCCCTCAAGGGGACTCTCTCTGCTCGGGTAAAGTCATGCCAAAGCCCCATATCTTCTGAGGAAGGGAGGAGGTCTGCATCTTTGTCCGATACAGCACTCACAAAGCTCACTGGAGAAGCAAAGAAGCGTATGCAAAGCATGAGTTGTACCAGCAGGACGCCAGGCTGGAGTGCTTGGTCTCAGTGGTCTCACACAAGAGCAATCCCTGGTTGGCTGTTGGCCACCAACATCAAAGGAAATATGCCTCATACGGGACTTCCTTCTCCCAGTTGAGAGTTTAAATTTAACCTAGACACTGACAGACCCCAACACTGATGCATGAATTCTGTCAGGTTTCAGTGACAAAAAGGATGATCCTGGTTTCTGTTGCTGACAGCGGACACCAACAACAAGCACGTTACCTTTCCATATTTGTCCTAGATGACCTCTTCCTCTTTTCAGTGCCCTGACTTAAAACTCAGAGCTTGCTAGTTAAAACGTTTCTATTCTGTAATTTGCAACAGCACAACATTCTCCTATAACGCTGTGCAGTGGGATGCAGGAAGGCAAACGCTGCATGAGCAACTTGACGATACATTTTAACAGGAAGGTCAGCACAAGTCTCTACTTACATGTGTGAC